CCTCCCCCCCAAGGTCTTACGAGCCATTCCACCTCCTTTTCATTCTGCAACCAGGGAAAGCTTCTCGAACTCCTCCATATTCGAGAGGCTGGCAAACCCTCCCCGTGCTCCCTTTTTATATATATTATTCATATTCGAGAGGCTGGCAAACCCTCCCCGTGCTCCCTTTTTTAATATCAGGGGTTGTTTCGCGCCTGTAGGAATGGCTACGGAAGCTGCTGCCATCCTCTTGTGTCCGGGCTCGCTGAAATCTGAGACATACCCTTGCTCCTACTGCTGCAAGTGCTTCTCGATATATGGCTGGCCTTGCCCGGCTGGTTACCGGCTGTGGCCGTGCTCTCGTGTGGGGTGATGCTACTGCCAGCATCCACAGCGGAGGAGAGACCCTCGTGCCTCCCGGACAGGGCCTCCGTGACCGGGATCCCGAGGCAAGCGTCATCGCCTGGTGCTCCTCGGACGTGAAGCTTGCTCCCAGAGCCTGCGTTGGCTCCTCTCCCGGTGGTGGTGGAAGGAGGCGGGGTCGTCCGGCGGGTAGGCACCGCGGCTGCCGCCACCGTCCCGGCCGACTTCCCTGTCCCCGTGGATGCCCGTGGCCCTCTACCCCGCCCTCCGCCGGCCCCTCCTCCAGGATTGGTAAGGACAGGGGCGCCTCCCAACATGGCACTGGCGGAGGTCCCGACCACGTACATGCTGGACCGTGCTGGAGGACGGGTGGCAGAACGGGGAAATGGCGGGGCTGTGGAAGGAGAGGAAGGGGAGGAGGTGGGGGAAGGCCCATTCCGCAGGAGCCTCGACCGAGAACTTTTGCGGCTCGAGGCGCTCGCCCATGGCGCCGTCATGTTGCTGCCGGCGGGGGGTGTCTGGGTGTGGCTGGTCTCCGAGGAATCGCGCGGTCTTTCCTGGTCATCTTCCTCTAATACAGATTCTCTCTCCCCAGCCGTACCACTGCTACAGCTGCTGCTGCTGCTGCGACGGCTTTTGCTACCCCAACTGCTCCTCCCAAGGCTCCTGTCACTAGTGCAGCTTTCCACGCTCTTTCTTCGTCCGCCTTCCATTTCCAGCGCCTCTGAGATGCCAGCCTCTTGCTGCATCCCTGTCTCCTCCATCGGGGGGCTGCCCGCCCTCTCGAGCAAGGCGGTCAGACGCCCTTTTTGCTCCAACCGGCGTTGAGCCTCCTGCAGTTTAACGTCTTTGAGCTCGCGCCAGGCGCGGCCCGCCTCCTCCAGGACGAAGCCCATGGGGCGGTAGGTCAGAAGCTGCATGACGCTTTCCCAGGCGCTCGATGTCTGTTCCTCCGTGGTCAGCCCCAAGGCCACCAAGGTCCGGGTCACCCGTTTAATCTTCCCAAAGACCTCCCGGAGGGCGTCGGCCTCCTCGGGGAGGCGGGGCAGCTGGCGCCGGAGTTTTTGCACGGCCCCGATCGCAGATTCCGTCAGATCCAGGGTCTGAAGCTCACCGCCTGGCTGATCCACGTGGAGATATCGCTGGAGGGCAGCGAGGATGACGGTCTTCTTCTCCTCCGGCCAGGCCGCCTGGAAGACACGTGCTCGCAGGCTCGAGGCCTGTTCCCGCAGCCCCCGCAGCTCTTTCTGCAGGGCCGCGTGCTTGTCTTGGAAATCCTCCCGGAGGATCCTCAGGCTACCCAGCTGTCTGGTGGCGTATCTCTGGACATGGTGGGTGCAGACGTCCATGTAGGCTTGACTGTCGCCGAGTAGGGCGCTTTCTCCGAGGATGAAGCGGTTCAGGGCCGCGGTTTCCCGCAACATCTTAACAAGCCCCTGGCAGTGCGTCGTAAGAAGGGCGTCTGGGAGATCATTTCCAATCGTATGTGCTCTCAGGGTGGCCATCAAGGCGGTGATGACCCCATGGGATTGGGAGGACGAGGATTCTTGGTTGGAAGAAGGCGGTCGAGACGTCACGGACAACGCGGGCTCACGCTTGGGCGGACTTTCAACGGTAGTAGGTGATAGATGAGTCGTAGGCATGGTTGCTGTAGGGTTTGTCAAAGTGCTGTGGGGCAGTGGCGGTGATAGGTCCCCATTCGAACGACTTTGGCTGCGGTCGATATCTGGGGAGATTTCGGGGCCAGAATACACGTGCTCCTGGTGGGTCAACTCTGGCAGGGGCGCCGATGAGGGCAAACGCATTGTGTGAATGCCAGTTTTATCCCCGCGGCTAGATATGCGCGTGCATTTTTGGGAGGAAGCAGGCATCTGATGTGCCGGACTCGTCAATGAGTGGCCCACTTGGGACGTCGAGCAGCCCTCCAAGTTTTCACCTGGTACCAGACTTGATACCCTTTCTATCTTGGTTTGTGTCTCTATCGGATTCCGATTTCTTGAGTTTGTCAAATTTTCATCTCTTCCTTCAGTTGCTGCGTCTCCGCATTGTACTTGATCCCAGTTAGCAGCACCCAGTCTTTTGGCGTTCTCCTCCAGACTCCTGCAGTCCGTCTCGATCTGCTCGTAGTAGTATTCTGCATCGTTGACATCATCGCCACAAAACTGCTGACGCATGGTGATCGTCGTATTCTCATTCCTTCTGCTGCTATGCGCCTCGGCAAATGTTACGGTGCTGAGCGATTTATTTTTCGTTTTTCCTGTCCTGTCATCCATTGGCTGTGTAAAAACAAAGCACGACGCTTCAAACTTTTTAAAAGCGGCCTAAGAAAGCACTTATGCTGTCAATGGCCTACGTGTATGTAATGAATTAGGTGATTATCTGCTCGGCCTCGTGGCACGAGACCATCTATCAATCAAACCAGGTGGTTGTTCTGGAGGAGCACGCAGCCTATGTCGCTCAAAGGGCACATGGGCGATGATATTTGCCATTAACAACCAGCACAGCATAAAATTAAAACTTCAAAAAATATCCCGCAGACTAGTTGGACTTCTGTAGGGATAAAAACTCAGTCCAGGTCGCAAATGACCTTCAGATGGGTGGTCGGGGATGAGAATTTTAAATTTTTGAATTTGGCGCCAAGAGAGGCAAACGGTGGCTTGTCAAAGGCAAGCGTAGCATACTTGATCATGGCGGGGAAGCTTTCCGTGTTTTTAAAAAATGTCACCAACTAACCAGCATTTACTATTTTGGGTTTAATTGCCAGGAGAATGACAGTGCACATTTTTTTCTGCGCTTTTGTTCACGGCAGCGAGGCGTTGAATGTCAACCGCCGTTTCCACTTACTGGACGTTTTTTACACTTTCATGTCCATCGGGACTTTTGTAAATAAAGATTGCCTCGCATTTTTCTATAGCGTCACAAATAGCAGCTGATTAGACCATTCACTCCCAACTGTTGCTTAGTTGTCTGTCTGAATCTTTTTTTTTTGGTGTGTGGAGTGCAACTCGTTGTGTGAGAGAAATGCACCCGAGGGACGCGGCGAGGAGCGTGCTTAGTCAACGTAATGGGCCTTTGATTTTTTGTCAGTCACAGGCTTCGCGAAAATCCTTCTCACCGCTGCATATCATTCACCTTATCTCTACAATTCGCACTCTTGCATTTAGGGGAAAAAATCCACCATGAGCAAGAGTGAAAGAAAGGCCGCTCGGATCCATCGTGCAGTGGCGGAAGGAGACGATTGTGTGGTAATTGATCTGACAAAACCCTGTTGCTTCAAGCTTGCTTCCATTGTGGAAGCGCGTGACCCCATTACGGATGGGACACCCCTTTTGACGGCCGCCGAGAGGGGGGACGTGGGCATTGGCAAGATCCTTCTCTCCAGAGGCGCCGATGTGCACGCTGTCGACAGTGACATGCGCACTGCCATGCACGTGGCGTCCCTCCACAACCATGTCCCGTTCTTGGACCTACTCCTGGACCATGGGGCGAACGTGGATGCCCCCAACCGGGAGGGGATGACGCCTCTGTTCCTTGCCATCCATTTGTACGGATCCCGAGATGATGTTCAGGGTAAGGGCGTGAAGGCGATTCGTTTCCTCCTGAGCCAGGGGACCAACATCAAGATTTGCTCAGGGCCGGAGGAACACACCCCCTTCTTGCGGGCGGTGGCGCTTGGGCACCAGGACATCGTGTCGCTGTTTTTGACCTGTGGGAGGTCGGGGCGGGAGGAAGGGAAGGAGGAAGGGGTGGTGGGCGTGGACCAGGACCGAGACGCGCACGGTCGGACTGGATTTATGCTGGCCATCGCCCAGGGTTCCTTGGAAATGGCCGCTTTGCTCCTGCAGCACGGGGCGGACATGGAGGCGAAGGACAAGGCGGGGATGACGGCCTTGGCATGGGCCGTGGGTCGTCCGGAGAAGTTGACGCTGAAGTTTCTGCTCGACCGCGGCGCCAATGTTCGGATCCAGGACACGGACTCAGGGGCCACGCCCTTGATGCTGGCTGCCCAGAATGGGGACGTGGGGCTGGTCCAGCTGCTCGTGGAAGGGGAGGCGGACTTGGAATCGAAGGACGGTCGGGGTTACACTGCCTTGATGCACGCGGCCGCCAAGGGGCATTCCCGTGTCGTCAGCTACCTGATGGATCAGACCGCCCTCCAGGACTCGCAAAAAGACCCCACCTCCGCGCCCGCACGCCGGAACCGGGGCAGGGGCTCGGATCCGGCCTCGGCCCGCGCCTCCGACCCTCCGTCGCAATATGCCTCCCCGGAAGATGTGGCGGCCACAGAGGAGATCAAATCCTTGGTCCGTCGCGCCAAAAATTGCGGGGCGCCGATCTTGCCCAGCGCCCCCACAGTCCGGAAGGAGAAGCTCGATCCTTTGCACCCCTCCATTCTCCTGGCCTTCGAGCCCCCACGTCCTACGGCTGCCTGCCCCAAGCTCGGCGTCTTGAAGTACACCGCCGAGTGCTTTGCCTGGGAGGAGGCCAAAGGGGAGGAGGGGGAGGCAGGGGGGGAGGCAACAAGAAGGGAGGCGGAGGATAGGGAAGGCCCGGTGGCGGTGGTGGAGGGCGTGGGGCAGGGTCAGTCTCCCTTCGTCTTCCGTGGTCTCGAGAGGGGCCGCTGGTATCTCTTCAAAGTCCACGCTCAGTCCGAGGGAGGACGAGGGTTGTCGAGCCGCACCGATCCGATCTTCTTGGCCACCACGCCCCTCGGGGCCCCGGAGATGAAGGAGGCGGTGGTGGAGGCGGTGGTGGAGGAAG